CTACTTCATAACTGTAATTTTGCTACTGTTATGAATCATAATGTAAGTATCTGATATGCAGGATGTATTTTCATTGTTCGCGACCCACAGGTTGAGAACCGCTGGATTTGTGCCAAGATGTTTTGGGAAAGAGGTATATGAATGGATCAATCAATCATAATGGGCCCAGGATGTGAAAATATATTTGTTCCCAGGGAATGTTCTCCCAAAAGCACCATGGGGCAGGAAGCCCTCAAACAATCTATAAGAGAGACATCCCCTCCCTCGCTGCCACCCTGACCCTTCTCGGAGCTGGACACAGTTGTGACTTCTTTGCGGAAGGTATTATAGGTTCCCTTTTGGAAAAAATAGGAATTCACTATTAAAGTAAAGGTTATGAAGTCTTTGAACCTGTTGGAGGAAAGCAAGGGTCAGACTGGAAATAAAACTAAATCAGGGAACAGTCACCTGGAATTACCAACTGATGTCCAGCTGAGTAAGCATCATCCAAACTCTTCTCATGAGGCCAGCATTATCCTAATTCCAAAACCACTGCAAAGAAAGAGAATTACAGGCCAATATCCCTGATGAACAGATGCTAAAATCCTCAACAAAATATTAGCAAGTAGGATCAAGCAATACATTAAAAAGATCATACGCCATGACCAATTTACAAAATAAACTGACAAACACTACAGGTCCTGAGGCATGGAAGCATGGCACAGACTTAGAGGAAGGGGGGATGGGTCGCAGGAAGAGATTAATCAAAGACTTATTTGCATATATGCATAGCCCGTGGACACAGACAATAGTGTAGTGGAGGCCTGGGGTGGGGTGGGGTGGGAACTGGGTGGAGGGAAGCAAAGGGTTGGGGGAACTGGGGAATATCTCTAATACTCTCAACAATAAAGATAAATAAAAATTTAAAAAACAGTCCATAAGATATCTTGCCCTATGAATGTTAGCCTCTTTCCCGGTGACCTTGTATTTGATCAGTGAGGTTATGAGCATCCCATGGTGGGAGAGGCTAAGACATTTACTTTCCTTCACTGAGGCTGGCCTGGCCACTATCATTGCTGAATATCCAATTCCCCAGAAGCAGCAACTAACTTCGAATCCTCAACATGTACCATGTTCTAGAGCAGTGGTCGGCAAACTCATTAGTCAACAGAGCCAAATACCAACAGTACAACGATTGAAATTTCTTTTGAGAGTCAAATTTTTTAAACTTAAACTATATAGGTAGGTACATTGTTATTAACTTAATTAGGGTACTCCTAAGGCTTAGGAAGAGCCACACTCAAGGGGCCAAAGAGCCGCATGTGGCTCGCGAGCCGCAGTTTGCCGACCACGGGTCTAGAGGTACCAGTCCATTACTTGCCGGGAAGACTGACTGCATTAGATCCCTTTTTCATGGTGGAGGCAGCAGTTTGGTTCTCAGGGAATAGATATTACCTAGCTATGCATTTGCTGTCTCTAACCACCATGAAAACTTCTGTCAGGAACATTGCCTCTGGGTTTAATGAATGTCTGATTCACTGTCATGAATATTACAGGAAGTTTCTAGCATTATGGTCATGCTAGTTTCTATAACAAAAATAATGGTTTAATACAATAGGTATGTATTTATTGATTATGTAGTTTTCTAACGTGCATGTCTTTTGTTGGTGAATGCAACAGTCCTTTACATAATGTTTAGGGGTGTTCTTGTGGCTCCTCTATTTTCTAGAAACTTAGAGTTCTCAACATTCAGATGGCAGGTAGGAAAAGAAAATGTGGACATTGCCAATCAGCTTCTTAAAAGTGCCAGCTTTGCCCTGGCTGGTGTGGCTCAGTTGGTTGGGCATTGTCCCATGCACCGAAGGGCTGTTGGTTGTATTCCTGGTCAGGGTACTTGCCCAAGTTGCAGGTTCAGTCCCCAGTTGGGATGTGTATGGAAGGCGACCAATGGATGTTTCTCTCTCACATTGATGTTTCTCTCTCTCTCTCCCTCCTTCCCTCCCTCTCCATACCTCTCTCTCTAAAAAATCAATAAAAACATTTTTTAAAAGTTCCAGACTTGAAGTGACGCACACCACTTCTACTCATATTCCACCAGTGATATTAGTTAGGTGGACGCAAGAGATGTTGGGATGGTAGTCTACTCTAGTGTCAATTTCATACTGTATGAATATTGTGTGGCTAGCTAGTGATCTAGGTATAATGTTATTAGCCTGCCACACAGGTAGACTGGTCATCAAATATCAGTGCACACCTCTCTTCCCATATTTACATACTTACACACACACACACACACACACACACACACACACACACAAATATCACTCACTCACTAGATCTAGTTCAAAGCCCAGGATCTCTGGTTGATGTACAGTTCTCTCTTTCAAGTCTGGATGTACTTCCTTGTGGTTCAGAGACCTATGAACTCAAGCAGAAGTATTTTCCCTCCACTAAAAAGACATTGCGGAGGCAGAAAAAGGACAGCCACAATAAAAGTTTCTTTCAGAAAATAGAGGAATGGGAACTACAGAGCAATCACTTAGACAAGACAATGATAAAATCTTGCTGGACAGACACACTAGATCAGCTGTTCTCAACCTGTGGGTTGCGACCCCTTTGGGGGTCGAACGAACCTTTCACAGGGGTCGCCTAAGACCATGGGAAAACACATATATAATTACATATTGTTTTTGTGATTAACCACTATGCTTTAATGATGTTCAATTTGTAACAATGAAAATGCATTCTGCATATCAGATATTTACATTATGATTCATAACAGTAGCAACATTACAGTTATGAAGTAGCAACGAAAATAATTTTATGGAGAGCAGATGTGTGTGGATGATCTACTACTCTCCCATACTGCCGGCAGTATTGGAATAAATGTTCATATGATTCAACCCTGTCTCTGCTTAATTGGCGCAAGTAGCGAAAGGCAGTATGGACCCCTTGATTGTCCGGTTACAAGTTTTCTATAAAAAAAAAAGGTGTTGCAAATACAGGAAGAGAGAGAGAACTAGAATGAACCCTGTGGGGATAGACTAAAATTTGTCAGATCTTGGTTTCTAAATATCACCCTCCACTGAAAAGCCAACACTATTTTGTCTACAAGAGACACAGTTGGTTCTCCTAAGAGGAACCAAGATTCTTTTAAGAGTCTCTGGATTGGGCCACAAAAAGTACAACATGATCCTAGGACATCACATGATTCTAGGACATCTAGTTGTGCCAGGAAGAAAGGAAATACTAAAAAAAAAAAAAAAAAAAAAGCCTGGAGACATGTCAAAAAGACATAGAAGCCAAGCTACAGGGGCTCCCGCTGGCTAAAGCTGGGGCAGTTTGAGCATCAAAATAAATAATGATAGAACAGTTTATAGCCCATTAAATAAAATAGGGATCCGTGAGTCTTTATTAATATAAATCAATAATAAACTGCTTTATAAGAGAAAAGATAGTACATAGTCTCAAAGTATGGAAAAAGGTAAAATCCTGACAGTCACCACCTTAATCAAGTGATCAAAGTGAACATCCCCTGTGGGGCAATGGAAATCATGCACCACCTGATAGGATATGGGGGAAAGAATGAGTCCATTATCACTTCTGGGATATTTCTGCTAACGATGGAGTACCAAAACCAATCATGAGATTAGACACAACAAAATTAAATGGTGTTCCACAGATTATATTAAAAAATATATTCTGGTCTGTAATCTTTAAAAAAAAAAAAAAAAAAAAAAAAAAAAGAAAATAATTTTATGGTTGGGGGTCACCACAACATGAGGAACTGTATTAAAGGGTCGCGGCATTAGGAAGGTTGAGAACCCTGTGCTAGATGCTGTCTACTCCACGGTGAGGGTGAACTCTCTTGATTAGACCTTAATCCTGATCTCTGGAGGAACGTCCTCCTCCATTATTCTCCCGGCGCCTGCCTCCACCTTTGGGAGTTTCCTCCATGCCCATCCCCCTCCTCCGTCTCCTCTGAAGTGAGTGTTGCTGAGCTGGCGTCCTTGGGACTCCACAGCATGCACAGCCTGCAGCCAGCCGGTGCACATTGGGAGCCTGAGAGAGGTTTTATATTATAAAGTGGATTTTTTGTTTTTGATACTTTCAGTTTTGTTTTCAGGTCAGGATCATGATCTCTCTGACAACACAATTCTCTCTCAAAAAAAAAAAAAAAAAAAAAAATTAGACTTTTAATCTATTGCAGCCGTAGGCAAACTACGGCCCGCGGGCCAGATCCGGCCCGTTTGAAATGAATAAAACTAAAAAAAAAAAAGACCGTACCCTTTTATGTAATGATGTTTACTTTGAATTTATATTAGTTCACACAAACACTCCATCCATGCTTTTGTTCCGGCCCGCCAGTCCAGTTTAAGAACCCATTGTGGCCCTCGAGTCAAAAAGTTTGCCCACCCCTGATCTATTGGCTTCCAGTCAATTCCATGTGGCAGCAGCCGTGCCCGAGTCTTTCCTAGAATAAGTCTCCATATCGCCTTCTCTCTCTGCCTCCTCATCCTCACGCCTCTCTCAGCTCGTGGGAGGCTATCAAGGCGTCTTCAGTGACAGGCTTGCGTGCTGAGGTAGTAACTTGAAGTTGATAGTTTTCACAGGCTGAGTCTCTCTGCAACTATGAAATCTTAATGAACAAATATATTTTGTGCCTTAACTGTCACTGAGGCCCAGAAGACTTGACTTTTCCAATTCTGCAAGGTCCCATATCTCTTTATCAGACCCATCACCTTTAATTTCCACTTCATTGGCAGATCACTAAGCCCAAATCATCTCCATGTCTGCCTGTAAGGAACTGAATCTAAGATTCCTGTATATGTTTGTCTCCCTTTTGTCATGCTCATCCCTGTATCCCAGTGTCTGGCACCTACCGGAAGGTGCTAAAGAATGTCTATTGATTGAAAGAATGGAATAGGCACAACTAAATATTTATTTAGTGAAAACAAATGTAGGGCTCACCTTGAGAGAGGTTCTGGTAAACACATTTCCTTTCCTTTCATTATATTCAGGGATGTTCGACAGTCCAGTAATGCTGTAGCACCTTTTGGATGGGCGGTTTGGAAACCTGCCTGCTGGGCCTGAATGAGTGAACATGGTATGTGCCCAGAACTTGGAAGAACAGAGAACACACAATGGGGGGAAATGAGGTAAAGCAGAGCTTGCCTGGTAGGTACAGTCGAGTTGGGGCAGCCCCACCACTGGCAAGAGTATGGAGGGGGACTTCGGCCATCTCCACCTCCCTCTGTCCAAGTAGCCACACTTCCTTTTGGCCGAGCAAGGAAATGGCTCTTTCCTCACGGAGTTGTGGGAGGGAAGGGAATATCCAGTTCTAGGTGTTTCCCTTTGATAAAATGAACTCTGGGGCTGAGTTTAATCTGTAGAGTTTCAAGCACTTTGTGGAGGGTGGAGCAGGGATGGCGGTGCTAACATTGGCTGAAAATAAACCCTGAAGCAGACATTGTCTGTAGGGAGCGGGTGCTCTGGGGAAGTGGAGTTTGACTTCTGAAAAAACGTCCCTCATCGGGCCTTTGCAAGGGGAGCCTGGGCACTTGGTGACGGCAATGAAATGTACTCTCCTGTCCCACGCCCCCCAAAAGAAGGCTTCCCAAGGCTTCCACCCCATCCCCCACCCCTAATACCACCACATACCACAGCCCATCATGGCTCCTTGGTGCTTCACCACCTCTGGCCCAATATGGACTCACAAAGGCACCACCTTCTGACTCAAGGATTATAGTCTCTCAAAATAAGTTGGCCTGAACAACTGCTGCCCCCAGACACAGACCGAGTGGAAATTCCAAGGGACAAGGTTCACAGTCTCTCGTGCTAAAGCCCCTGCGCCTGTGTCCCTGTAGGCGCCAGGCCAGGAAGCGAATGGAAAGATCAAATCTTTCCAAGGCTGCTCTCCATTTTTACATCAGAAGGAGTAGGGCAGGTCTAGGTCAATGAGTTTAAAGCCCTTTTGTCATATGAAAGTCTTCAGTTACAATCTCCTCTGAGCTTGTAGGTAGAACAGGCCAAACTGAGCAGGCTGGCTGAATTGGGAGGCCGGGAGAGGCCAAGCCTACCCACTGTGCTCGTCTCTGTCGCTCCCTCCTGGGGGCCTGGACGAGCTGCAAGAACCCGTCCCATCATAGCCCTGGGAAGAACAGTGCGGGGCCCACAGGAAGGGACACACTGAGAAGAGCCAGACCTGGAAATAAATTGTACACAGGCAGGTCCCCCCACCTCACGTCAGTATTTCACCACAGGAGCTGGGCCACACTGAGCTGTCAGCCCTGTGCCTGTGCGGGGGCCCGAGACAGGGGGTGTCAGGAGGCCTCAGCTAGGAGGAGGGAGGATGTAGAGTCAGGAACCAAGACAGGGCCCGGGACAATGAGCAGACTGTCTTGGCCCAAAGAGAACTGCAGTGTTTACCATGTTGGCCTTTGCAGAGGACAGTGGAGAGGAAGGAAATCATGAAGGATCCAGTGAAGGACAACTGTGAAGGTTGGCATGGGAAGCCTGGATTTGACCTGATAGGTGAGAGGGAACCACTCTAACCTTCTGAGCAGAGGATGCCTCAGGGAAGAGCCCCCAGGAGAATAGCGCTGGGCTCACATGAAATCAGCCCTAACGAGGCACAGGTCTGGACGATTAAAACCTTCAATGAGCCCTTCACATATTGTCTCTCAAGTCCTTCCCTTCCATCAGCTCTGCCCTGTCTAAGTTCAGATGCCCAAACATCGTGTCTAGGCTTCGGATCAACCTCCCTCCTGGTTCCCACCCTCCATCACCAGCAGGAGTCCATCCTCACCTGGCGATCTTCCTGAAACACAAGCCTGGAATCCCATGGCGCTCCCGCCTTCAGCGCCTTCAGTGGATCCTCACTGAATAAAGTTCAACTCTAAAATCTGGCACTCAAAGTCCTCCACAGTCACATTACAGCCTCCCTTCCCAGCTTTCTCCTCACGACACCCCCCTGCCCCTGCCTTTCTATGCTTCCCCACATTCTCCCCATCTTCCTGGCTGACTCACCCTCACCCTCTGCCTACACTCTGTCCCCACTTCAGTCTCCCTTACTGCTCTCAGAGTCTTCTGTTAAAGATCTGTGATTCTCTAAGGCCCCGTTCTGATTTCATGTCCCTTGAAAACCCTTTAAGGTCCTTTCTCCACTCTGAACTAGCCTCTCTGTCCTCAAGACACTGCATTTGTGTGTGTAGTGTATTTAGACTAGCTCTTATCTGTCTGCCTAGTATCAGCATTATTTACATATGTCTGCTTCTCTTATGTTGTGTGCTCTTAGAAAGCAAAAACAGAGTAAGCAAAAGAAATACTTGCATTTCTTGTATTGACTAGCAGAGTTTATAAAATTTGGGTGGAATAATAGTTCTATAGACATCTAAAAACTACGAACAGCCATCCTGAGCCCAGGACGAACACTCTGAACTTTCAGGGCCCACCCACTTCCTAGCCCTTGTTCTGTGGTAGGTGAGGTCAGCTCCTGATAAGAAGTGCCACAGAGAAGGCCAAGAACCCCCGCACCCTCCCTGCCTAGTGCTGTGTCTAACGGGGGAGCCAGGCAGGTGATTCAGGGAAGGTCATGGGGTCAAGATCAAAACACTAGGAGCGCTTTGTCCCTTGGTCTCACTCTGGATCGATCATCTGAGGCTGACATGCTACTTACTCTGTGAAGAATTTGGGGGAACACGGGCACTTAGTTATGAGGAGAATGGTTACTTAAGAAAAACAGCAGTGATCTGAGAGAATTTATTCAGCTTGTCTATATGTTGGGCCCTGTCCTGGAGACTGAAAGATACAACCCTAAAAGGTTAAGAATGATGGATAAGTATAAGTCAGGACTGTTTGCAGCCTATAGACAGGCTATGCTCCTGAACCACATTGTTGTTTGTTTGTTTGTTTTTATTTAAATATATTTTTATTGACTTCAGAGAGGTAGAGAGGGGGCGGGAGAGATAGAAACATCAACGATGAGAAAGAATCATTGATCAGCTGCCTCCTGCACGCCCCTCATTAGGGATCGAGCCCACAGCTTGGGCATGTGCCCTCGACCAGAATCAAACCTGAAACTCTTTAGTCAACAGGCCGATGCTCTATCCACTGAGCCAAACCAGCTAGGGCCTGAACCACATTGTTGAAATTTGGCATGCTTGCTTCAGAAAAACCTATTAACGGGAGAGTAGGCTTCCAGGCTATTCCACGGAGCCAATTTAACTCAGACTGTAACTAGCTCTGGTATCTTAATGCTATAGAGGTCAAGCAGTCTTTAAAACCTGATCCCAATGGAAAAGCCATTCTGCATTCTAGCTTGGAATGCAGTCTCCGCCTGCACAGGCGTGGGGTCCCCTCCTTCACCCAGGGTCACGTCAGTGACACGAGTTCTCGGTGCCCTCGGCCAGTATAAATGCAGGGAGGGAGTGTCTCTAAAGCTTCTAGTGTGTGTAAGTGGGTGTCTAAGTGTCCCCAGCAGCAAGGAAGAGAGGGGGTTCAGATGCTTCCCTCAGCGATGGGAGTCCTGGCCGGGATGGCCATTTGTACGGAATAGACGTTCACTGAGCGTGACTGTAAGCCAAGAAGAGCCTGTAACTGAATTGGACGAGTTCGAGACTATTAGAGCTGGAACTATGATTTAGGGTCAGCTAATCCAACCCCCACACTTTATAGAGGAGGAACCGACGCTGAAGAAGTCAAACGACTTGCCTGTGGCCACACTAAACCAGTGGAACCACCAGGTGTGAGCCCACACCTTCCAGGAGCAAGTCATTTCCCCGAGTCCAGGTCCTTCGTCTGCTTACTGGGAATGAGCATCTCCCCTCACCCCGAGGCTTTTCGGGGTCACATGAGGACGTTTACAAAAGCTTCACAAACTGCAACACGCCATACAACGGGACTACTTTTATTCCCTTCACTCCCAACTGCTGCTTATTCCTCTCTTCAAACTTAGCAGCTCATAAAGTGATACCAGAGCCGGAATATGATGGCAGGACACCAGAGGCAGCCCCAAGCCTGCGGGCCACCAGCCTAAGCCACTGTGTGGCCTGTTCCTACTTGTCCCTGCTTTGGCTGACGTTTCTTTCTGGACAGGCAGCGGGAAATGTGTTCACTCTTCTTCCCCAAGCAAGAGAGGCCCCACCTCCCAGACAAGGTCTGTATGCATCGAGGAAGACCAGCGCTTGCGAGAGAAAATGCAGAAACACCCAGGGGCTGTGAGAATGACTCTAGGAGCCCCTGCATGTGTCCGGTGGGAGGCTCAAAAGAGCAGGGAGTCCTCAGCAGAAGGCTCTCATAAATGAGTGGCTTTCCTCCATGTGCTGTCCTTGTCCCCCCTCCCCTGGCCCCCCCCCCCCCACACACACACTTTTTGAATATATTTTTGTTGGTTTCAGAAAGGAAGGAAGAGGGACAGAGAGATGGAAACAGTGATGAACGAGAATCATTGATCGGCTGCCTCCTGCATAACCCCACACTAGGGATGGAGCCCATAACCCGGGCATGTGCCCTAACAGGGAATCAAACCGTGACCTCCTGGTTCATAGGTCGATGCTCCACCACTGAGCCATGCCAGCTGGGCTGCCTTTGCCCTTTTGAATACACTGGGTTAGCTGCCTGCCGTGGTCCATCCTCTCCCATTTGCAAATATTCTTGCAATAAGTTAGACACTATTTTGTAATTGCTTTCCATGGATGAGTCACGAGTTTTTTTCAATGAATCTATGCCACTTTCAGACATGTCTCATCTGCTACCACTATTTAGTTATGGGGTTTCCTTAGCTGTGGGAGCCCAGATGTCTGGGTGTAATTGCTTGTAAGGAAGGCCTTGCTGAGTTCTGATTGGTTGGTTTACCTTGTGGCCCGTTGATCCGACCATCTCTCCAAGCAGCCTATTCACAAGGCGGCAGGTAACAGTAACATCTCCGAGAGGGAGGTCCCATAGCTAGTGTGTTATCTCCCGCAAAGCACAGAACAGCAGTAAGTAAAAACCCTAACGGGGGCTCACATTTATTGAGCAGTGCGTTTCTTGGGCTCTGTGATAAACGTGCTACGTGAAAGATCCCATTTAACCCTCACAACGACCCTCTGAGGTGGTCGGACTATTTTTATTCGCATTTTACAAATGAGGAAACGGAGACTTACATGGCGCTCCCAGCCAGTGGATAGAGGAAGCAGGGTCTGGTCACGTTCATCTAGGCCAGTGGGCATGTGACATTCCAACGTGACTAAAAATAAAGGCACCCTTACACGGCGGAGCTTATGAAAAGCGCTCGAGAGCATGGAATGGAAAGCGATCATGCTGAGCTGCTCCGGCTCCTGGTCCGGGCCAGCAGGGGGGTTGCTGGGTCTGGCCTGAGCCCTGTGGCTCAGAGAGGACCTGCAGGCTGGGGACAGTCACCAAGTTCCGGTGACAGTAGAGGCGCCTCTGTAGGTGCCCAGAACCACCACCCTCCAAGGCCACATTGCTCTGAACAAGAGACCATGGGAGCATTCCAAGGAGTGCCCTCTGCCCCAGTCACCCCTGTGTTGATACCGTGGGCACATATCCGGTCTCTAGGCAGGGCTGTGTGCGCTTTGTGGGTACCACGCCCAAGCCGGCACTGGGCACTGCAGACAAGGCTGTTGTTGAAAACCACCCCCCTTTTCCTCCTCTGGCCTCTCACATCTCCATGGCCTCCTCCAGGAGGCACCATATGGGATCTTTCATTGGCTCGGTGACTAGGGGACAGTCGGAATGGAGGGGGCACGGCAGTCTCCTTGTCACCACATGCACAGCTGAGACTGGGTCCCGTCCAGTCACACTCTCACACCAGCTGCCACGGCAGCCACACCCTCCGCTCGGTTTCCAGGAGTCAGAAGTGGCTGCTCCCAGTGACCCCTGGGGGTGGACAGAGCGGGAAACTCGGACTGAAAAGTGACTGTGAAAATAGACCGAGCCAGAGCTCTAAAGCCATGCCTTACCAGCCCCCCGCCCCCCAGTTCTGCTGGCTTCTGTCTCTTATTCAGCAGGTATCGAAACTGCCTACTCCATGCAGTGCAAGGACACACACACACACACACATGACGTGGCAGCGTCGTGATGGTCTTTAGAACTTCTCTGGGGAGGGTCTAAGTCAGTGATGGCGAACCTATGACACGCGTGTCAGAGGTGACACGCGAACTCATTTTTTTTGGTTGATTTTTCTTTGTTAAATGGCATTTAAATATATAAAATAGATATAAAAAATATGTCTTTGTTTTACTATGGTTGCAAATATCAAAAATTTCTGTATGTGACACGGCACCAGAGTTAAGTTAGGGTTTTTCAAAATGCTGACATGCCGAGCTCAAAAGGTTCGCCATCACTGGTCTAAGTAAACGTGTTGCACGCACACGGGGGAGCCAGGAGGCCATAGGCTCAAGTTACACAGATCATAGGTGATCACAAGGCTTCTGCTGAGCTTTGAGACTCGTTAAATATTAATCTACAGAGTGATGCTCCCCTCCCCGGCTCTGACCACCCTCACCCAGCTCCCTGCAGGCAGTGGTGAGATCTACAGGTCAGGCTGAGGGTGTCTAAAGTACCTGTATCTCCAACCTTGGTGGTGCTCCTCACAGGGCAGTGAGCCCAGAGTTCCGGCCTCCTGTGGTCTAGACAGTTCCTCACTCTTTGGGGCAGGCAGAGACCACTGGACTCCATGGATCAGTCTCCATGGTGAGAACAAGGCAGCCACCGGGGAGCCACTCAGAGCCGCGTTTCCTTCGGGTACATGCTGTCCACCTGGCTGATTGCTCATTTCCTGATTTGCAGTAAAACAAGGTCAAAGTAACTTTAGCTCAGTGTGCGTTGGCCGGTCCTCGTGGCTGGTCCTCCAACCTAGACCAGCTCCATGTAATAAATGT